GTAGGGGGCCACTACACAGATCACTAATATAAAGGGGTCCTTCTCCCATTGGTCACCAATGTAGGGGGCCACTACACAGACCACTGATATAAAGGGATTCTTCTCCCATTGGTCACCAATGTAAGGGGCCAGTACACTGACCACTAATATAAGGGTGTTCTTCTCCCATTGGTAACAAATATAAGGGACCACCACACTGACCACTGATATAAAGGGATCCTTCTTCCATTGGTCACCAATGTAAGGGACCATTACACTGACCACTGATATAAGGGGGTCCTTCTCCCATTGGTCACCAATGTAAAGGGCCACTACACAGACCACTGATATAAAGGGGTCCTTCTCTTACTGGTCACCAATATAGGGGACCACTACACTGACCAATAGAGGTACTTGTTTTGAAGAGCTTGATTTGGGGGTTTGGCAAATGGCAGAAAGTTGCTGATGTCCCAACAATCCATTCAGATGTCAACTGGGGATTTCCTGGCTGACAGGCAAATGTAAACATAATGTAAAAAAAAATGGGCATACCCGAGTACCCGCTTTTGACCTAAAGGGACGCTTTTTGGACGCCATGGACGTTTCTCAGTTTCCAGGCAGAAAGAACAGTAAAAATGCAAGCAGGGCGCCGGACAAAGCACTCGGGACAAAATGTATGTGAAATGGTTTGATACAGGAATGTTATACTATGTGATTTTAGTGTATTGAGTGAATGTAACATTTTTGAATGTCCCGACGCTCGCAGGGAACAGAACCTGGAAGACGGATGCCAGCATCGGCCAGAGGAGATAGCTGGGGATGCTGCAAGAGGGACATTGCAGGACCGCAGAACGAGGTAAGTGCAGAAGGGATCCCGGAGCAATGCTGCAGTGTATTCCCGAGTGTAGCTCGGGGTCACCACTTCTGGTACTGAAAGTTAACCCCGAGCTACACTCGGGAATACCTCCAGGGGTTTAATAGCCTCCCAGTCTTATGCCCCGTACACACAATAATAAAATCGTATGATAAATTTAGCAGAACCACTGATCAAACGATTTTCTCTTCATTGATGAGCAGAATGTTTTAACCGATAGCGATATTGTGAACGAAAAAATCCAGTTGAACAACAGTGAAAAATGTTGTCGTTTCGCAATACGAACAACCGATTTTCTATGCGGTGGTATGACGGTGGAACAAAAAAAATCTATCAAGCATGAGCAAAAAACAGAAGAGGACCCGGATGTTTATGTCCAAGGAATCTTCTTAAACACAAACAAAAAATCCAAAAGTTAAAAGTAGATCGGCCGAATGAGATGATGAAACCAGAATTGTGCAGATTATATTTTATGTATCACTATTTATGTATACAGATAATGTAATAAACAATATTATACTCATTGCTGGTAATTGTGTATATCGCTCGTTCTGGGCGGCAAGGCGTGGCTACAAGGTCACACGCACACCGCATCACTTCCACTTGTACGGAAGACGTCAACACTACGTATTGCCGAACGAACAATTTTTTTAGATTGGTTAATGTGGGCCATGATTTCGACCAACAAACAAACGCCTCTCTGTCATCGGATGACCGATCGGTCGATTTTCTAATCATGTATTCCCACCTTAAGTCCGTAGGGTTCAATATCGAGTTGGCCTCCCAGTCTTAGTTCGTAGGGTTCAATATTGAGTTGGCCCCCCAGTCTTAGTTCGTAGGGTTCAATATTGAGTTGGCCCCCAGTCTTAGTCTGTAGGGTTCAATATTGAGTTGGCATCCCAGTCTTAGTCTGTTTTCAATATTGAGTTGGCCTCCCAGTCAGGGTTCAATATTGAGTTGGCCTCCCAGTCTTAGTTTGTAGGGTTCAATATTGAGTTGGCCTCCCAGTCTTAGTTCGTAGGGTTCAATATTGAGTTGGCCTCCCAGTCTTAGTTCGTAGGGTTCAATATTGAGTTGGCCCCACAGTCTTAGTCTGTAGGGTTCAATATTGAGTTGGCCTCCCAGTCTTAGTTTGTAGGGTTCAATATTGAGTTGGCCTCCCAGTCTTAGTTCGTAGGGTTCAATATGGAGTTGGCCTCCCAGTCTTAGTCCGTAGGGTTCAATATTGAGAGTTGGCCTCCCAGCCTTAGTTCGTAGGGTTCAATATTGAGTTGGCCCCTCAGTCTTAGTTCGTAGGGTTTAATATTGAGTTGGCCTCCCAGTCTTAGTTCGTAGGGTTCAATATTGAGTTGGCCCCGCCCTTTGCAACTATAACAGCTTCAGCTCTTCTGGGAAGGCCGTCCACAAGGTTTAGGGGGGTGTCTATGGGAAGGTTTGACCATTCTTCCAGAAGCACATTTGTGAGGTCAGGCACTGATGTCGGACGAGAAAGCCTGGATCTCAGTCTCCACTCTAATTCATCCCAAAGGTGTTCTATGGGGTTGTTTGAGGTCAGGACTCTGTGCAGGCCAGTCAAGTTCCTCCACCCCAAACTGGCTCCTTCATGTCTTTATGGACCTTGCTTTGTGCACTGGTGTGCAGTCATGTTGGAACAGGAAGGGGCCATCCCCAAACTCTTCCCACAAAGTTGGGAGCATGAAATTGTCCGAAATGTCTTGGTATGCTGACGCCTTAAGAGTTCCCTTCACTGGAACTAGGGGGCCAATCCCAACCCCTGAAAAACAACCCCACACCATAATCCCCCCTCCACCAAACTTTACACTTGGCACAATGCAGTCAGGCAAGTACCGTTCTCCTGGCAACTGCCAAACCCAGACATGTCCATCAGATTGCCAGACAGAAGCGTGATTGGTCAACTACAGAGAACATGTCTCCACTGCTCTAGAGTCCAGTGGCGCTGTGCTTTACACCACGAGATCCAACGCTTTGCATTGCAGTTGGTGATGTAAGGCTTGGATGCAGCTGCTCGGCCATGGAAACCCATTCCATGAAGTTCTCTACGTACTGTTTTTGTGCTAATCAAAGTCATAATGACGAAACGTGTCAGGGAGGGAGTGACGTCAGACGCTAACTGGAAGTCCAACGGCAGCCATCTAGTCCAGTAGCGGCCATTTTTATTGAGGTCCAAAGAAAGTATTCAATGCTGGCTTTTTATACACACTACTATATTGTAAGCACATTTTAAACTGAATAAATCAGTCTTTTATCTGCTGCACTGTGGTCTGCCTATTAGGTTTGATTGCATGGGAGTGGGATATTGGCAGTAAAGGAGATCTTTTGAGGCATAGTAGTTGACTATGAGATTCCAGGCTTCAGGAGGATCTGGTAAGGTGCATGAACCGTGAGGTGGTGGGTCACCTCTGGAGGATTCAGCACTGATTAATGATCAGAGATTGATTAAGTGTGAGCACATTGGCACTATTGTCATTTGTCGTATTGAAAATACTACACTATATGATATTTAAATATTTTTTGGAGAGCAATTTATCATGAGAGGAGAAAAATGAGGAAGAAATATTTTACAAGATTCATCTCCCTTCAATAAAGCGAGGATTTTGGATTGGAGGGTAAGAGTAGGAATTACGGATCTAGATTGATGTCACATGGTGGAGATTTGGCACTCTTATAGCACTTTTATGTGAGTGTAATATATATTTTTTATTGTATATAAAAAGATAATGCACTATATGCGGTTTATATTTATTGTAGGAGGAGTTAACACTCTATGAAAGGAGGAAGAGGAGTTCACTGCTTTTGTCACTTATGAATGAGACATTTAAATATTGACGATGAGAACTTTGGAAGAATGGAAGGACTTATAATATGAATTCTCTACATCCTTTGATCAAGGACTTTCTGATATATTATGTAATATCTTGGCGACTGGGATTTTATTCATTTCATGATTTTGTTTTGGATTCTTTACATTTTGTGGATATTTGAAGATTAGTGATTGGGGTTTGTCCTGGGTGTTGATTTAGCACACAGTGATTTCCTGTGATCGTCAGCTCCGTCTAGTGGCCATAATGAGGTATTTTTTCTGAAATAGTTCCAACAGTAAAAAAAAATAGCATGATAGGGCATTAGGGCCACTGCATGGAGACAGTTGTCATAGGAGATCACTGTATATTTTAATTGTATTTATTTCAGGTACTTATACAGCACCGTCAATTTTACGCAGCACTTTATATATACATAAAGTGCTGCATAAAATTGATGGCACTATATAAGTACCTGAAATAAATAAAATATACAGTGATCTCCTATGACAACTGTCTCCATGCAGTGGCCCTAATTTTTTATATAAATATATATTTTTTATATATATATACTGTATGTATATATATATATATATATATATATGTGTGTGTGTGTGTATATATATGTATGTATATATATATATATATATAAAAAACTATATATAGAGATAAATATATATAGTACATTCACATCAGTCCCTAACCCTCAAAGGGGCGTACAATCTAAGGTCCCTAACTCACATTCATACATACACATACTAGGGACAATTTAGACAGGAGCCAATTCACCTACCAGCATTTCTTTGGAGTGTGGGAGGAAACCGGAGTACCCGGAGGAAACCCACACAGGCACAGGGAGAACATGCAAACTCCAAGCAGGTGGTGTCGTGGTTGGGATTTGAACCAATGACCCCAGTACTGCCAGGCGGAAGTGCTAACCATTTTTTTTTAATAGACCTTTAAGTCTCTACACCACAAAATGTACTCAGCCAATGAAAGGTGATGACTCCATTTTTATTCTTCTCCTGCTATCAATGGCCAACCCGGTCCCCACACTTCATCCATGTCTTTGGTGACCTCTGATCTCCTTATGAACTGTTTCTTTCATGATGAAGATCAGCCATGGAGTATATTTGAGGTGTATATCAGGGTGTGCTTCTTCCCCACATGAGAGCTGGGATGTCCAGCAACATTCATCTAGAAGACATTTCCCGCACTCAAGGCACTAATATACCTCCAGGGTTGTGTGGGACCCTTGATGTACAGGAAGACAGGACTTCAGAGAGGAACATTTCCCTCACTCAGGACAGGAAATTGGCTTCTCCCCCGTGTGCAATCTCTGATGTCTGGAAAGATTGGACGTCTGTGAAAAACATTTCCCGCACTCATGACAAGAATATGGCTTCTCCCCTGTGTGAGATCTCTGATGTCTGTAAAAATGAGACATCACTGAAAAACATTTCCCACACTCAGGACAGGAATACGGCTTCTCCCCTGTGTGCACTCTCTGATGTCTGTAAAGAGTAGACTTCTGTGAAAAACATTTCCCACACTCATGGCAAGAAAATGGCTTTTCCCCTGTGTGAGACTTCTGATGTCTGTAAAGACTGAACTTCTCTGAAAAAACATTTCCTGCAATCAGAACAGGAATACGGCTTCTCCCCCGTGTGAGATCTCTGATGTATGTAAAGATGTGACTTATTTAAAAAACATTTCCCACACTCAGGACAGGCATATGCTTTCTCTCCTGTGTGAGATCTTTGATGTATGTAAAGACTGGACTTGACTGCAAAACATTTCCCGCACTCAGGACAGGAATATGGCTTCTCACCTGTGTGTAATCTCTGATGTCTGTGATAAAGGACTTGTCTGAAAAAACATTTCCCACACTCATAACAGGAGTATGGCTTTTCCCCCGTGTGAAGCCTTTGATGTGTGACAAGATGTGATTTTAATACAAAACATTTCCCACACTCAGTACAGGAATATGGCTTCTCCCCCGTGTGAAACCTCCTATGTGTGTCAAGATGAGACTTCACTGAAAAACATTTCCTGCACTCGGGACAAGTGTATGGTTTCTCACCTGTGTGAGATCTCTGATGTGTTTGAAGATTGATTTTTGTGAAAAGCATTTCCCGCACTCAGGACAGGAATACGGCTTCTCCCCTGTGTGAGATCTTTTATGCACATTAAGATGGAATTTAGAATGGAAACATTTCCCGCACTCAGGACAGGAGAAGCTCTTTCCTGTTGGAAGGCCAGCCCGGTCCCGCACAGTCTGAGGTTCCTCAGGATACGAGGAATCCGATGGTCCATCTACACTGGGTGGTGCCGGATGGACATTGGAGGGAGCCAGGTTTTCTCCTGGACTATACTGTGTGATGTCCTCATCTTCTACTTTCCAGTCTGGAGACAAAGTGAGACAATCCTCGGAGGTTTTCCTCATCTCCCGGCCATGGACTAAAATACAAAGACAAAGAGGATTACTAGACAGGAGCTGATTGGTTCCCCCAAACCAGGACTCCGCCCACATCAGGCAGCTTGGTCTCTGAGAAGCTTACAATTCCACCCTCAAGGGAACTAGGAAATGGCTCCTCTGATCTCCTACCAGGTCATTTCTTTATTCATGGACCTTAGTCAGAGAGTGAGGAAACAACCAGAACTGTCTTTTATAGGAGGGACAGTGATGAGGGGATTATAGGACGAGGGTCCCCACCCCCTCTATCACTCATCGCCATCTTCCCAACACAAGAAGTACTGCACTTCCTTATTTAGTCCATGATTTAGTCATGAAGAACAGCGGGGCTGAGCCCCACCAGAGGTCAGAGAGTGAGGATGGGGGGAGAACAACCAAGATGAAGACTGGACTGATCCTGAAGACCACCATCATTGGGGTATTGACTCCTCCCTCATTATCACTTTCTCTGTTAAGGGTCTAAAGTTGGAGGATGTTATCACATTATTATCACCATGTTTAAGTACAGCACATTCTTATTTATCCTTCTCCCTCATTATCATTTTCTGTTTAAAGTGATATTAACCCCTTGCCTACCGGGCACTTATTCCCTTTTCCTGCCCAGGCGTATTTTCAGCTTTCAGCGCTGTCACACTTAAAATGACAATTTCACGCTCATTCAGCACTGTACCCAAACCAAAGTTTTTATTACTTTTTTGAGACAAATAGAGCTTTATTTGGTGGTATTTAATCACCACTTTTTAAATGTTTTGTTACAATAAAAAAAAGAATGAAAATTTTGAAAAAAAAAGTTTTTCTTAATTTCTGTTGTTTTGTAAAGTGATTTGTCTTCCTTCACTGATGTGCAGTAATGTCACTGCTGAGACAGCACTGATAGGCTGCACTGATGGGCACTAATGGCACTGGTAAGACAGCACTAATGGCACTGGTGAGACAGCACTGATGGGCACTAATGGCACTGGTGAAGCAGCACTGATGGGCACTAATGGCACTGGTGAGACAGCACTGATGGGCACTAATGGCACTGGTGAGACAGCACTGATAGGCTGCACTAATGGCACTGGTGAGACAGCACTGGATTAAGGCACTAATGGCACTGGTGAGACAGCACTGATGGGCACTAATGGCACTGGTGAGACAGCACTGATGGGCACTAATGGCACTGGTGAAGCAGCACTGATGGGCACTAATGGCACTGGTAAACAGCACTGATGAGGCTTCACTGACGGACACTGATAGGCTGCACTGATGGGCGGCATTGACATCACACTGATGGTGCATTGACAGCCGACACTGATAGCCAGCACTGATGGGCACTGATAGCTAGCACTGATGGGCACTGATAGCTGGCACTGATTGGCACTGATAGCTGGCACTGATGGGCACTGATAGCTAGCACTGATGGGCACTGCATAGCAGCACTGATGGGCACTGATAGCTAGCACTGATGGGCACTGATACTGGCACTGATGGGCACTGATAGCGGGGCACTGATGGCACTGATAGCTAGCACTGATGGGCACTGATAGCTGGCACTGATGGGCACTGATAGCTGCACTGATGGGCACTGATAGCTAGCACTGATGGGCACTGATAGCTAGCACTGATAGGCACTGGCACTGATAGCTAGCACTGATAGGCACTGATAGCTGGCACTGATGGGCACTGATAGCTAGCACTGATGGGCACTGATAGCTAGCACTGATGGGCACTGATAGCTAGCACTGATGGGCACTGATAGCTGGCACTAATAGCCGGCACTGATGGCGCTATACTGAAAATCAGGGCACTGATTATCAGTGTAGATGTCCCTTCTTACCCGCTCTCCTCTCCTCACATACAGTCAGCATGAGGAGAGGACTGCCAATAACCGGCATTTCCTGTGATTGGACTCAGCTGATCACATCCTAAAGGGCCACTGTGATTGGCCCTTTACTGCAATCTATGGTCAGCTGTGTCCAAAGGACACAGCAATCACAGATCGTGCCTGATACACGCCCCAGAACTACCCAACCACGCTCTAGTTGTCTTTTGGCAAGTGGTTAAAGGTTGTTTTTAAAAAAAAAATAATAAACATGTCATACTTACCTGCTCTGTGCAATGGTTTTGCACAGAGCAGCCCCAATCCTCTTCTTGGGTCCCCCACCACTGCTCCTGGCTCCTCCCCCTTGACCAGTGACCCCAGTAGCAAGCCACTTGCTATGGGGGCAATAGTGTGTGCTCGCTCCCAAGCCCTGCTCTATGCGTCCATAAGACATATAGAGCTGCAGCTCGACCCCACGCTCTCCTCATTGGCTCACTGGCTGTGATGACAACTGTGTCTCAGCCAATGAGGGGAGAGAGACCTGGGACAGCTGAGGCTCCCATGCACATTGCTCAAGTGAGAGGGGGCTCTGGTGAGTATTAGGGGGATTGGGGGGAGCAGATCACAGAAGGTTTTCTTTACCTTCATGCATATAACTAAACAGTTTAATAATATGTAATGTACAACATAGAGTATATAGTGCAGGGGTCAGGAGTATGTAATGTACAATATATAGGGTATATAGTGCAGGGGTCAGGAGTATGTAATGTACAACATAGAGTATATAGTGCAGGGGTCAGGAGTATGTAATGTACAAACATAGAGTATATAGTGCAGGGGTCAGGAGAGTATGTAATGTACAACATAGAGAATATAGTGCAGGGGTCAGGAGTATGTAATGTACAACAGAGTATATAGTGCAGGGGTCAGGAGTATGTAATGTACACACAGAGTATATAGTGCAGGGGTCAGGAGTATGTAATGTACAACATAGAGTATATAGTGCAGGGGTCAGGAGAGTATGTAATGTACAACACAGAGTATATAGTGCAGGAGGGTCAGGAGTATGTAATGTACAACATAAAGTATATAGTGCAGGGGTCAGGAGTATGTAATGTACAACATAAAGTATATAGTGCAGGGGTCAGGAGTATGCAATGTACAACATAGAGTATATAGTGCAGGGGTCAGGAGTATGTAATGTACAACATAAAGAGTATATAGTGCAGGGGTCAGGAGTATGTATGTACAACATAGATGTATACATGTGCAGTATATAGTGCAGGGGTCAGGAGTATGCAATGTACAACATAGAGTATATAGTACAGGGGTCAGAGTATGTAATGTACAACATAGAGTATATAGTGCAGGGGTCAGTAGTATGTAATGTACAACATAGAGTATATAGTGCAGGGGTCAGTAGTATGTAATGTACAACATAGAGTATATAGTGCAGGGGTCAGTAGTATGTAATGTACAACATAGAGTATATAGTGCAGGGGTCAGTAGTATGTAATGTACAACATAGAGTATATAGTGCAGGGGTCAGTAGTATGTAATGTACAACATAGAGTATATAGTGCCGGGTCAGGAGTATGTAATGTACAACATAGAGTATATAGTGCAGGGGTCAGGAGTATGTAATGTACAACATAAAGTATATAGTGCAGGGGTCAGGAGTATGTAATGTACAACATAGAGTATATAGTACAGGGGTCAGGAGTATGTAATGTACAACAAAGTATATAGTGCAGGGGTCAGGAGTATGCAATGTACAACAGGACTATGTAGTGGGGGTAATGTACAACATAGAGTATATAATGCAGGGGTCAGGAGTATGTAATTTACAACATAGAGTATATAGTGCCGGGGTCAGGAGTATGTAATGTACAACATAGAGTATATAGTGCAGGGGTCAGGAGTATGTAATGTACAACATAGAGTATATAGTGCAGGGGGTCAGGAGTATGTAATGTACAACATAGAGTATATAGTGCAGGGGTCAGGAGTATGTAATGTACAACATAGAGTATATAGTGCAGGGGTCAGGAGTATGGAATGTAAAACATAGAGTATATAGTGCAGGGGTCAGGGTATGTAATGTCAACATAGAGTATATAGTGCAGTATGTAATGTACAACATAGAGTATATAGTGCAGGGGTCAGGAGTATGTAATGTACAACATAGAGTATATAGTGCAGGGGTCAGGAGTATGTAATGTACAACATAGAGTATATAGTGCAGGGGTCAGGAGTATGTAATGTACAACATAAGAGTATATAGTGCAGGGGTCAGGAGTATGTAATGTACAACATAGGGTATATAATGCAGGGGTCAGGAGTATGTAATGTACAACATAGAGTATATAGTGCAGGGGTCAGGAGTATGTAATGTACAACATAGAGTATATAGCGCAGGGGTCAGGAGGATGTAATGTAGAGCATAGAGTATATAGTGCAGGGGTCAGGAGTATGTAATGTACAACATAGAGTATATAGTGCAGGGGTCAGGAGGATGTAATGTACAACATAGTATATAGTGCAGGGGTCAGGAGTATGTAATGTACAACATAGAGTATATAGTGCAGGGGGTCAGGAGTATGTAATGTACAACATAGAGTATATAGTGCAGGGGTCAGTAGTATGTAATGTACAACATAGAGTATATAGTGCCGGGGTCAGGAGTATGTAATGTACAACATAGAGTATATAGTGCAGGGGTCAGGAGTATGTAATGTACAACATAAAGTATATAGTGCAGGGGTCAGGAGTATGTAATGTACAACATAGAGTATATAGTGCAGGGGTCAGGAGTATGTAATGTACAACAAAGTATATAGTGCAGGGGTCAG